ACCAAGATTTAAGTTTAGGTCTTCTACCCCGTGTTTTTTTGCACAATTGTCAGATGAAGCTTTCGCAGATTCTGAAGAAATATATTCATCTCTCCTATCAGTATTAGTTGTTCTGTATAAATACTGCATTGGCAAATTTTACTTGTCCAAACGGTATCTGTGATCCTGTTTTCTTTTCACCTTACTTATTTAATCTATTTAGCAGGATTGTTGTGTGATATCTACCAGCACTGAAAGTAGTAACAACTCAGTTATTTACAGCAAGAGCTGGAAAGACTGAGAAAAAATATTTGTGTTTGATGTTAGGGCTGGAGACTTGAACTCATAATTATTATAAGTGTAGGCAGTCCCTATGGTTATGAATAAGGAGCTCTGGTAGGGTAGAGGTTACAAATCGGGTTGTGAACCGCAAAGTCAGCAGTTCCAAACTATCAGCTGTTCCATGTGAGAAAGATGAGGCTTTCTGCTCCCATAAAGATTTACAGCCTCGGAAACCCTGTACAGGGTCGCTATGAGTCGGAACCGACTCCATGGCACATAACAACAACAACAACAACATGGTTACAAATATCCAGTTTATGAACATCAGACTTACATACACTCAATAGTTATGAACCAACTTCCCCCACACTAAAGCCTATTGTATTAAACATTGGAAGTATATAAAATGGCCCATAACAACAAATCGGTACTACTTTGTTCTATAAGTAAAAACATTGTTATTACTGAATTATGCTAAAGATGTTTTAGTGCATCTAGAAGTGTTTATTTATTTATTTATGCACAGAAAGATAACACTATATACTAAGACAAGCATTTGACTAACTGACATGATTTGAACATATCTAACTGCTCTAATTTACATACATCAATTTAAAATCAGATTTAGGAATGGAACACATCTGTAATCCAGGGAAGGCCTGTATTATGTGTGAATGTGGTAGAGGTAGATTAGAGGAGTCTGCATAATCTGTGATCTCTGCCTTTGGCCAGTTCACAGTTCAGTTGTTAAGGAGACCATTTAAACACATGCAGCTGGAGATATGAAGGCAATGACACCATGTGTCTGTATCCCAATGCTGGGCTTGGGTCTGAAACATTCATCCTCATGTCTGTATAACTGAAAACATGATTTGAGAGGAAGAAGCTATCACTGTGAATTCCTGAGATCAGAGAAGAATTTGTGGTAGATGTGATAAGGTTGTTTTAAATGGTAAGGACTGGGTGGGCGGAGGGTGTGAGGAGGGAGGGGGATTGGGATGATTGGTGGATCCACTTAGCAAATTGGTATTAGTTGCCTTTTATTTGACTTCAACTCATGGAGGCCCCCATGTGTGTCAGAGCAGAACTCTGCTTCTCAGGGCTTCCAAATACTGATTTTTTTCAGAAGTGGAGCCTCAGACCGTTCTTTCAAGATGTCTCTGGTGGATTCGAACCTCCAAACTTTTGGCTAGCAGCCAAGCACATTAACCATTTGTACCACTCAGGGATTCGTTACCAAGCTGAGGGCCTTACATAGTGGGGTGAGCAGTTTGGGTGTGGGCCTCTGGCTGGGCCTCCAGCGCTGTAAGCTTTTGAGCAGAGGAGTGGCTTTACTGATTCTGCTCTATGTGTGGGGTTGATTGGCACTAGATAGCAACTTTATAAACATCTGTATTTAGGGCAATTGAAACAAAGGTTCCGTGATTGTCCTATCAGTCAAGGCCAATTCATGCTGCTGTTGGAAATGGATGGAAGAACAGGTCGTTACAAGAACATCTTTCCCATGTGTTTCTTACTGGAAAGCTGTTGGACTGAGAATGAGGATGGTTCATTTGTACTGTCTGTGCCTTCATGATGTTGAGTAGTGACAGACCAGGGGGTAGTGTCCTAGGTTTTATCAGTTTGAGCCATCTGAAGTTTCCATATTGGTTCAGATTCGTAGAACTATTGGCAATTGCATATAGTTCAATCTAATCAATGGTGAAGATAAAGTTGTTGCTGGAGATGAGTGGACTTGGGCTGGCCTTCAGCTTTGTGGGCAAGTCAGTTGGAGGTGGTATTGGACAAGGCTGCTTGCAGTTAGCCTGGAAGTACTAACCAGTGATGAATTGGTCCTGGAAGCTGAGCTGTTCTTCTCCCCCTATTGTTTATTCCTCCTGCCTACAGACCAGACATTCAGTGTCTCCTTATTTTCTCTTCTAACCTTTAAGAGTCCTGGAGTCCTGGTATGGTGCTGTAGGATAAGCACTCAACCACAAGGTCGGTTTGGACCATAAGGTTATAGTTCAAACTCACCAGCCAATCCTTGCAAACCCTATACAGGGTGGCTGTGAGTAGGACTTCATAGCACTTAACAACAACAATAGGCACACATTTAAAGAAGTAGAGAGACTCACTTTACTAGGAGTTTGGCAGAAGGGTGTGTGGAAGTGGGGATTTAGAAATAAGAATGTGTATATCTTGTGGTTGTGTCTTCTTAGTTCTTCTCAGCAGCTTGGATGCAGATAGAAACATAAGCACCATTTCTGTTGCTCTCAGTGATGCTGGGGAAGTGGAGCCGAGTTCTCACTCTTGATGTCGAGGTTTTCAATGAACTCTTGAATGCTTAGGGAGTGGGCTAAGCATGTTTGGTGTTGGCATGGTGGTGCTGAGCTGCTCTGTCGCCACATCCTTAGTTTTTTCACTAAGGGGTCACTCTTGGGGACCCTTGCCTAGGTCCAGGGGTGGGGTATACACAGATTTCTACCCAGGGTGTGACATGTAGTCTGTTGAAACTGGCTAAGCAAAGCCATCCCAAGGAGCACACTCTTCACCTTCTGCTCTCGCACAGGTACCATGGGGTCAACTTATTGACCACCACACCCAGACTCCACAGTTCCACTCTCTGAGCCTTGAGGTCACTCACCGGTCCCAACTCTTCTGTTTTATCGCTCCCCTGTTTCCATGCACTTCTCTCCTGTCCCCTCTCCTCTCATCCTTCTGCTCTTTCTTCTCCTCTCCTTCCCCTGCTCTCCTCCATCTCTCGCTCAACATCAATTTTTCTTAGATAGAAATGGAGGCAGAGAAATTAGAAAGATAATGAGGGAACATGGATATAAGATGACTGCAAATAAATGGCTCAACTGTACATGTGACTGTTAAACTCATAAACATATGACGTGGGAAGTTTAGTACCAGCCACTATTTTGTCATCTAAGTTGACACCTGTGTTGAGTTGGAAATCATAACAGATTGTAGTTTATAATTAAAAATCCAAACCACTCTGTAATTTACTGGGCCAAACTGCCCATTTTGGCACAACTGGAATTTCTGCTGTAGTTGATTCAAATACTTTTAAACGTAATTATTTATAACTTTTATTTTTAAGAAGTACAAATGACAGATTCTCCTACATGTGGGATAGGACATATGGATCCTGTGGGGATAACTTTAATAATTTGCAGCCCATGATCATGGTTTAACTGAAGGACACATCATGTCATTTCCCTTTTCACTCTCTTGACCAGGATAGAAATGGGAGAAATGGAGCCATTTTTGATGTCTCTACTTTAATCTGACTGGATACAGGTGACCAGGACATACATACAGTCTTGTACATTCTCAGTATTAAACCTCTGAACATTAGTATGATCTTGGTTTCTTTCTTTCCTTTTATTAACAAGGAAGATGTTTCTATATTTAAATGGAACCTCCTTCAACTTTCATAACCCGGCCCCCCAAAAGAGAAAAAATATCAATCAGCACTTTAAGAAATACTCATCATATTATATTGGTCCATGAGTTCTTGTGGTGGCACGTGGCACTCTAAGTCAAATTCTGCTTTCTCAGTAGCTTGTTATTAAGATGAAATTATGATATAAATATTTATTTTTTAAAAAAGAACTGTATCTGTCACTGACAATTACTGTGTCTGTCCTTGGTGTGCATCAAGCCCTCAGTTGAGTGAATTGTAATCCTTTCCTCATTTATTCCTCACAAACCCTGAAGGAGGGTATCATCATTCCTCCTTCATAAATTCAAAACCTGGAATGTAAGTTATTTGCTCAAATTCACATAAATAGTGAGTGGTTGTGTCAGGATTCAAATCCAGTTCAGCCTCAAATCACTTTACATACTGCCTCGCCTTGAATGAGTCAAGATGAATAGAGTATTAAGCTGTGAACTGTACTTGACAAAGAGTTGAGTAAGATTTGGGTTCCCTATAGTTCCAGAATATTCTAGCCTCTTGGTGGTACTTTCTGGGAAACACACCTTGGTCTTTTTACCTCAGCCATAGATCCTTGGAGGTGGATTCACTCTGGAGTAGTGGGAGCTCACAGGGTCAGGCTTTAGCTAGAGAGAGATCTGAGTCATGGCCCACCCTGGGTCCTCTGAGGCTCAATGCTGACTTAGTTATGAACTTCTGGTTTCTCATAGAGGAGTCTGGGATTAGATCTAAAATGTAATAGCTCCATCTTTTCAAGAAGACCCTCAAAAATCACACTTATAAACTGTAATAATAGAATCAATCATTTTTAGAAAAGCTTTGGTGAAGACCAAAGGGCTCTTTGAATTCATCTTGACTAATATCCTGCTGTCTTTTTCCTGTTATAGGACACAGAGGCCTATGTGACCATTCTCTAAAATATTTAAGCTCAAGAATCACTGAACGGAAGTTGCAGGGCACATGGCTGCCTGCTGGCCAAGGGAATCGGGAGAAGCCATTGTTGGGGCCGTGTGGCTCCGTCATGCCTGTGTTCAGCCCTCAGAATGGCCTTCACTCCATCCATGCCGACAGCAGCCTGACGAAGCCAAGGGTTGTGACTGTGGTAAAGCTAGGTGGACATCCCCTCCGGAAGATCACCCTGCTTCTCAACAGGCGGGCAGTGCAGACGTTCGAGCAGCTCATTGCAGATATCTCAGAAGCCTTGGGCTTTCCAAGATGGAAGAATGATCGAGTAAGGAAAATATTCAACCTCAAAGGCAGGGAAATCAAAAGCGTCTCTGACTTCTTCCGGGAAGGGGATGCTTTCATAGCCATGGGAAAAGAGCCATTGACTTTGAAGAACATTCAAATGGCTCTTGAAGAACTGTATCCCAACAAAGCCCGGGCTCTGACACTGACCCCACATAGCCGGGTCCCTTCCCCCAGACTGAGGAGCAGGCTTTTTAGCAAGACTCTGAAAGGGAGTCACCACTGTGGGGAGACTGAGATCACCAAGAGCTGTGGTGAGACAGCTGGGTCCAAGGTAGCCATCAGGCACCCAGGGAAGACTCCTGTGGAGCCAGCGCTGGAGGATAGGACGAGGGCCCAGAAGAATTGGGTGAGAGGGAAGCGGGAGCCTGAATCCAATAGCAAGCCTCCCAGAGAAGCCACTCCAGAGGAGAGGCATGCCAGTGGAGAGCAGCATCTTGGGGTAGAGCTAGAAAAAACCTCAGGAGAAATGATCCGATGTGAGAAGTGTAAGAGAGAGCGAGAGCTCCAGCAGAGCCTGCAGAGGGAGAGACTCTCCATGGGGACTAGTGAGCTGGACCTGGGCAAGTCTTCAAGGTATGATATGGAGAAGTTGGTGAGGACAAGAAGCTGCAGGAGGTCCCCTGAAGTGAACCCTTCAGGTGGGGAGGAAGGATGGAAGGGCGACAGCTGCAGGAACAATCCCAGGAATCCCACTCAAGACCTGAGGAGACCCAGCAAGAACACAGAGAAGAAAGAGGGCAGAGATCTGGATGGTCAAGAAAGTCATCCCCAGGGAGCAGTCAAGACTAAGAAAGAGCTTGTGGAAAGTCAACTTGTCACAGACCAGGGGCTGAGGGAAGGGAAGAAAGAAACCAAGACTCTTTGTAGGAAAAAACATGGTGGCTGGCTCCTGAGAGAACATCGCACTGATTCTGAGAAGCTGCCTCGGACCCGAGCTGAGGAGAAGGAAACTGAGAAAGAGAAAAAGGTGTGTGTGTCAGGAGGGAGAAAAATGGTTCTAAGGGATGATGAACTTACCAGGGGAGAAAAAGAGCCCAAAACAAGGCCAGAAGAAAACAAGGTCGATGGACCACTGAGACGGAAGGCCCGGCCCACAGGCATCATTGCAGCGGATGTGGAGAAGCATTATGAGACTGGTCGGGTCATTGGGGATGGAAACTTCGCTGTGGTGAAAGAGTGCAGACACCGAGAAACCAGACAGGCCTACGCAATGAAGATTATTGACAAGGCCAAACTCAAGGGCAAGGAGGACATGGTCGACAGTGAGATCTTAATTATCCAGAGCCTCTCTCATCCCAACATAGTGAAACTACATGAAGTATATGAAACAGAACCAGAAATCTACCTGATCATGGAGTACGTGCAGGGAGGGGATCTTTTTGATGCGATCATAGAAAGTGTCAAGTTCCCAGAGCACCACGCTGCCCTCATGATCATGGACTTGTGTCAGGCGCTCGTCCACATACACGACAAGAACATTGTCCACCGGGATCTCAAACCAGAAAACCTTTTGGTAAGTCCTGTTTTTGTTGCTATGGGAGAGGATGTTTCTGTTTAGTTTTCCTTTTCTTTTGAAAAATGTGCTTTACTTTTTAGAGCAATGTTGTTGTTGTTATTGTTGTTGTTGTCAGGTGCCATCGAGTCGGAACCGACTCATAGCGACCCCATGCAGAGCAGAACGAAACAATGTTCGATCCTGGGCCAACCTCACTACCGCTGCCACACTTGACGCCATCAATGATGCCACCTGGCTGA